TGGACGTAGACTTGTTGAGAGGTGTACAAGTCGAACCACGTTAAATTATTGTCTCAATTTCTTTATTGCTTCCGTTTGTGTGGGATTGTGGTGCTCGAAATTCCAACAAGTGGTATCAGAGCTATTGGTAGAGCTCCTGGTGTTGTGGCAAAATGCAAACTGAAGCCATGAAGTATTCAATTGAGTTGTTCGATGGCAAAAATGACTTTGCTCTATGGCAAAGCATTGGGAAGGATGTCCTTACTTGTCAAGGACTTGATGCAGCTTTAGAAGAGACCAAGCTAGCTAAGGTGAGGGATAGTGATTGGAGTACTATCTAAAAGAAGGCAGCAAGTCAAATTCGGCTAGCGCTTGCACCGGAGGTAAAATACAATGTCCTTTCAGAGACTACTCCAATAGGCATGCGGAGAAAGCTTGAAGAGATATATGCTTCTAAATCTTTAACCAATCGATTGTGTTTAAAGATGGAGCTATATCAATTGAAGATGGTAGAAAGCACAGATATTCATAGGCACTTATCTGATTTCAACATGATGGTGACACAAGTAGTGAATGTCGGGGATGTTCTAGAAGAAGAAGAAAAAGCTTTGCTTTTACTTGCATCCTTGCCAAAGTCTTACAAGTCCCTAGTGCAAAGCATGCTAGTGGGTAAGACTACCTTGGTGATGAAAGATGTCACATCCATGTTGTTGGAGAATGATAAGTTTCTTGGGGAGGATGATGGTGCCAATCAAACTAATGCTTTGGTGATGGAGCACTCTTGGGGAAGATCCAATGGACGTGGAGGTGAAGGAAATTGAGAAAGGTCGAAATCCAGACCTAAGAAGGATTGTAGTGAAGTGCAGTATTTTTATTGTGGTGAATTGGGTCACAAACAGTATAAATGCCCAAAGTTTAAGGAGGACTTTTCTAATATGAAAATATTGATGAAAAGTCAAGAAACCAAGGGCAAGGGGGAGGCTAATATTGTTGAAGAAAATGTGGTTGAAGTATTAGCTTGTGAAGAGTGTGATCCTGAGGTGGAGCAAAAGAATCAAAGATGGATTTTGGACTCCGTTGCAACCATGCATGTGTGCAATAATCCTTCGAAATTTGGGAGTTTGGTTCGGGGGGAGCTTGGTAAAATAATGGTGGCTACCGGCGAGAAGGTAAATATTGAAGGCATAGGAGATGTTTGTCTCGATGTTCACAATGGGAGAGCCAAGATTCTCAAGAATGTAAGATATGTGCCCAAGTGTTCAAGCAACATTATTGCTTTGAGTGAGTTGACAACACGAGGGTGCAAGTACGTTGGAAAACAAGAATGGTGCAAGGTCTACGAAGGTGGAAGATTTGTCTTGCGTGGAAGGAAGAACAAGCACAACATCTATGTGCTTGAGCAACATCCCGAGAGAGGGCTTAACAAGACCATGAGCAAGATGGTGTGGAAGCCTAAAGGGATCTTGGTAGATGGCAAGGAAATTAATAAGACCAAGAAGAAGGTGAGCTTCAACAATGAAGTAGTGTTTGATGATGGTTCGAGGAGGTGTGATTTTCCCTCAGATCATGTCTTGGTTCAAAATTAATTTCTTTAATGCTCCTAGTGTAGGTTTGTCCTATCCTATACTAGGAGGAAGCTCTCAAAAATAGGACACCATGATGAAGTGTTCTTGAGCAGGGGGAGCAAAATTATGGAATGTTGAAGTGTATGGAGTGATGGTTGGTTTCTCCTCCCATAGGGTTGGAGGGGGAGATTGTTGGAAGAAAGTCCAACCCCATGTGTGAACCCATGGACTTTTTGTGTGGAAGTTTGCTTCACCAACCTAGCTAGTTGTGGGCTAGGATTGCTTTGTTGAAATCATGCAAGATTGCATGTTGAGCCATTTAATGAACAAAGAAAATCATGGACAGGTAGTAATGAGGCAAAGAAAAATGGTGCATGGGTGGTTGGATTTTTCACTATAAATACCCATGCATGCAAAGGCAATGGAAAAGCAAGAGTAGGAGAAAGCAAGAGAAATTGAGTGAGAGCTCTTGTGAGAGAAAAGAAAGAGAGAAATTGTGAGAAATCCTTGTGTAGATTAAGAGAGAATATTAGGGAGAATTTAGGAGCTTCTATAGATTGAAGCTAGGGGTTAAGAGCTTCTTAAGTGAGAGAACTTCCAAATTATTGTACTCTTTTTCTTAATAGTGGATTTATTTCTCTCTTTCCCGTGGACGTAGACTTGTTGAGAGGTGTACAAGTCGAATCACGTTAAATTATTGTCTCAATTTCTTTATCGCTTCCGTTTGTGTGGGATTGTGGTGCTCGAAATTCCCAACAAATATGAATGAAAAGGGACTAATTAAATTCTACTTCCCTTAATAAATTACTATGTACGTACAATGATATAATATATACGTCCATATATATACATGCCTTTGTATACATGGTATGCTTAATAGAAAATTAGAGAATTAAAATTAGAAGTCATCATGATATACATCTTTGATTAATTTATTTTATTTTATTTTATTACATATAATGATGAGTTTTTTAAAATTGTTTTTTTAATGTTTCAATGGTTTAAATTTTGAGATATTTGAAAACGTCTTTGTAGCATAGTAATTATCTCATCCTTATAAAGGATGTCTTATTATTAAATCTGGAGGTGTGAGGTTCGAATCCCACCCTCAATGTTCAAAAAAAAAAAAAGTTTTCAAGTTCTTACAAGTTGATTAAGGTGTAAAATACATATATATATGATTAAGGTGCTAAATGGAACCTCTTCTCCCACACCAACACGCCAAGGAAACCTAACCAGATAGAGCAAACAAATGCAAGCTACC